TAAGAGCGTCTGCTAAATGAGTCAAATGTATAAACAACCAGATAATATCCGTTATTGCAAGTGACCACCAGTAATCTCAGTCTGTCATGCAGATCTCACGGTCATCTTTCATTACCTGTTTGGCTGGTACAGTACCTACCTACTCCTATCCACACCATGTCAAAAAGGATCTTGGTTAATATCATTCTGTACTGACAAGTAGGCATAATAATCATCACATTCACATGGAGTGTCTCTCAGTTCTCATATGGAAAATGTGATTATTTTATCTCTATTCTCGGTCTGGTGTGTGTGTGCAACTGAGGGGGGACTAGGGTGATGTGGTTGATTTATAACCTATTTTTGTTTCTTTTCCGCTTATCTGTTAGCCTCAGAAAACAGCTGTAGATTTAAATAGAGAATGCTATGTGGAAGAAAACACTCAATATGGATAACTGATAGTATATGCATGCATATAGGTGCAGTACACTTACACTGATGCTTAGATATAGTGTAATCTTCTGTGTGTGTGTGTGTGTGTGGACCATGTAGATGGTGCTGATATTTCGTCAGTGCATACCAGTGCCATGAAAAAGTAATGCCATCACATTCTTTCTTCAGTATCAAATGTTAGAGGACCAATGTGGCCACTGCTTCGCTTCTGCTTTCACAGAAATGGCACCGAAACTAGAATTGAGCCCTATCCTTTTTTCTTTTCTTTTTAAAATCTTTTACACACATTCGGTCCATCTAACCAATAGTTAACTGTTTGACATCTCAGACATCGTTTTACCCTCTATAGAGAAAATGTCAGAATCACCAATCCTACACTAATATACAAGAAATGTTTTGCTCCAAACTCCAGTTTGTCATAATGAAAAATCTATTTCTAAAACCAGGTTAAAACAGTCATGTGCAAAACCATTTACAGACAGGAAGGAGAAATGATCATCTTACCCACTTCAATAATTATTATTGTAAACATGTCGCTACAGGGTTTCTATCAACGAAATGGTTGATAATTCATAATAGTAACAAAATAATATTTAACGAGTTCCAAATACCGATACATTACATTGAAATCTTTTCACTGACGGACCTTCACTACCAGTCCAAAGTTTGGACACACCTACTTATTCAAGGCTTTTCTTTATTTTTACATTGTAGAATAATAGTGAAGACATCAAAACTATGAAATAACACATGGAATCATGTAGTAACCAAAACAGTGTTAAACAAATCAAAATATGATTTTATATTTGACATTTTTCAAATAGCCACCCTTTGCCTTGATGACAGCTTTGCACACTCTTGGCATTCTATCAACCAGCTTCATGAGATGGTCACCTGGAATGCATTTTAATTAACAGGTGTGCCTTCTTAAAAGTTAGTTTCCTTCTTAGTGTGTTTGAGCCAATCAGTTATGTTCTGACAAGGTAGGGGGGTATACAGAAGAAGATAGCCCTATTTGGTAAAATACCAAGTCTATATTATGGCAAGAACAGCTCAAATAAGCAAAGAGAAACGACAGTCCATCATTACTTTAACACATGAAGGTCAGTCAAGATGGAACATTTCAAGAACTTTGAAAGTTTCTTAAAGTGCAGTCGCAAAAACCATCAAGCGCTATGATGAAACTGGCTCTCATGAGGACCGCCACAGGAATGGAAGACCCAGAGTTACCTCTGCTGCAGAGGATAAGTTCATTAGAGTTACCAGCCTCAGAAATTGCAGCCCAAATAAATGCTTCACAGAGGTCAAGTCACAGACACATCTCAACATCAACTGTTCAGAGGGGACTGTGTGAATCAGGCCTTCATGGTCGAATTGCTGCAAAGAAACCACTACTAAAGGACACCAATAAGAAGAGACCTGCTTGGGCCAAGAAACATGAGCAATAGTCATTAGAACGGTGGAAATGTATCCTTTGGTCTGGAGTCCAAATTTGAGATTTTTGGTTACTACATGATTCCATATGTTTTATTTTATAGTTCTGATGTCTTCACTATTATTCTACAATGCAGAAAATAGTAAAAATAAAGAAAAACCATTGAATGAGTAGGTGTGTCCAAACTTTTGGCTGGTACTGTATGTCAGTCTTCAGTGAAAAGATTTGAACACGATGTACCGGTATTTGTAACTCGAACTATGTTATTTGCTGGACTCCATGAGATCTGGGCCCGTATCTACAAAGCATCTCAGAGTAGGAGTGCTGATCTTGGATCAGTTTTGCCTTGTAGATCATAATGAATAAGATTATATTGGCAGATCCTAGATTTTTATTTTATTTTACCTTTATTTAACTAGGCAAGTCAGTTAATAATTCTTATTTACAATGACGGCCTACACCGGCCAAACCCGGACGACGCTGGGCCAATAGTGCGCCGCCCTATGGGACTCCCACTCATGACCGGTTGTGATAGAGCTTGGAATCGAACCAGGGGGGTCTGTAGTGACGCCTCAAGCACTGAGATGCAGTGCCTTAGACCACTGCGCCACTCGGGAGCCCAGATCAGCACTACTCTGAGATGCTTTGTGGATGTGAGCCCTGATCTCAATCATGGGACTCACTATGATACTTTATAATTTACTTGACTTTAAAATATTTCTTCCAGTGGATTATATTAATCAAAAAGTTAAACTCATGTTAATCCCACAAATAAATAACTTTCATAGCCCAGGTCAATAACCAAACATCAAGAGGTTTGTACTAATCAAACTCCAGACTCACCAGCGCTGCCAAAGCTCATCCACAGAGGAAGAGCTGAAAGAAACGGGAATCTGTCTCCCATCATCACAGCAACAAGGATACAACAGGACAGTAGGCAGCGGCAACAAGCTTTATTTTTACCGGACGTCAGACTGCTCAGTCAGTAACCAGCATACAGGTTGAGCAGGGCTGACTAGTCTGTTGTTTTAGTGTGGTGATGACGAAGTGTTGCAAAGAAATCCAGGGTAGAGCAGGGGGGAAGTTGTGGTTTAGCTCAGTCCATTTTTGATGATCAGACCACTCCCCTGACTGTGGGCCTGCACACAGTGTTGGAGGAAGGACAGATCGAAAGACACCTAGAAATGCTTTGGTTTCTGTCGACTTACTCAATCTTTACCACTTCTTCGCCACATGTTGGTTGTGCAACATGGTGTTTTGAAAACGGAAATAGCATCACATGTTATGACTTCCCTAAAGGTCTTACTGTATGTTTCTTAACTACAAAGATAATGATAAGTGAATTGACACTATTTGACCGATCAGTCATAAAATATTTATTAGGTTTATAGCATTATACATCGATGATTACGAGTTGGCCCATCTGTCAGAATCTCAGTACAGTGAATGGGAGACAAACAGTAATGACAACGCTGAGAAATCCTCTTCAGAGTGGAACTATGAGTGTCATCATTCAACAGTCAGGTGTTTTAACTTAACGGTCAACTTCTCCAAACACAATGTCCTGGGTGCCTGTCACAAGAAAAAGTAGCAAAAACTCAACCATATACATCGATGACCATAAATTTTTTAACAGGAACTACGCTGAACAAAAATATAAACGCAACATGTAAAGTGTTGGTCCCACGTTTCATGAGCTGAAATAAAAGATCAGACATTTTCCATACGCGCAAAAAGCTTATTTCTCTCAAATTTTGTGCACAAATTTGTTTACATCCCTGTTCGTGAGCATTTCTACATTGCCAAGATAATCCACCCGACAGGTGTGGCATATCAAGAGGCTGATTAAACAGCATGATGATTACACAGGTGCACCTTGTGCTGGGGACAATAAAAGACCACTAAAATGTGCCGTTTTGTCACACAACACAAAGCCACAGATGTCTCATGTTTAGAGGGAGTGTGCAATTGGCATGCTGACTGCAGGAATGTACACCAGAGCTGTTGCCAGATAATTGAATGTTCATTTCTCTACCATAAGCCGCCTCCAACATCATTTTAGAGAATTTAGCAGTACGTCCAACCGGCCTCACAACCGCAGACCACATGTTACCACGCCAGCCCAGGACAACAACGTGTTCCAGTTCCCGCCAATATCCAGCAACTTCGCACAGCCATTGAAGAGGAGTGGGACAACATTCCACAGGCCACAATCAACAGCCTGATCAACTCTACACGAAGGAGATGAGGCAAATGGTGGTCACACCAGATACTGACTGGTTTTCTGATCCACGCTCATATTTTTTTTTTTAAAGGTATCTGTGACCAACATGTATAGCATGTGAAATCCATAGACTAGGGCCTAATGAATTTATTTCAATTGACCGATTTCATTATATGAACTGTAACTCAGTAAAATTGTTGAAATTGTTGCATGTTGCGTTTATATTTTTGTTCAGTGTACATTAATTTCATTGCTAAGGATTCTGATATTCAATGGTTGACTGATAACATAAGGGTCGTGTTAAGCAGAGATAGATTTGTTTTTAAAACAGAGGTACTAATACAATCAGAACACAGATTTTTGTTATCCGTCGCAAAACATTTTGCTACAGTGTGTCCTACTGAACATGACCCAGTAGAAACATGTCTTACCAATAATGGCCACTACATCAGCCAGCATGTGTCCTTTAGCCATCATATCCAGGGCAGCCTGGGGAAGACAACATCGCAAAACCATCAACCAACTCCAATTCAACTATAAACAGCAAGAAGCATCATACATAACCTTTTTCTTATTTAATCTGTGTTGCGACACGTTTGCGCAATGCACTTTCAATAAAGTTATTTTATCGTGATTTGATACAGAAACTAAAACAGTTTGGGACGGTCTGGTGTGTTAATGTCCCTAGAACAAACATGTTACAACAGAGACAGAGAGGGGAAGGCAGGGTTGGGCTTGTGTTATTTTACAAATGCTTTTATACTGGTTTATAAATGTCCTTAATGAACTGTAAGTAGCCTTGAGGAGGAAGCTGTTTAACACATTGAATAATTTATAATAACTGCATTAAATAATTCAGGGTGTGAATTCTTTCTGTGTTGTGGTTGTGGTAGTTTGAACTCCCCGTACCAAGTGAGCAAATCCTGGAGCTTTGATTTTGCAGCGGTAGGGCCTGCTGGAACCGTCAGATACCAGATACACACCAAACTCTCCCTGGAAAATAACACAATATTACATATTAATATTCCTACCCAACACATTCACACCAAACTCTCCCTGGAAGAGACAGGAGAGGAGATCACATTACACAACATCATAATATAATTCAGTGTTTTTATCTACTTTCCCAGGGACTACAGATTCTAATTAACCAGCTAGCTAAATCTGGCACATTTACAGAATATCTGGCTGTCAAATCAATGTAATAAATGACATGAAATTGTGTTATATCTAAAGGCATCCTATGACCTACAACATTGATCAGTTGGAGGAGAATCTCACCATTACAAACAGTAAACTGCACATTTAGAATATCCTCAAAGTATGAGGTTAAATTACAAACAGAGAAAGGCTCAAAGCTCTTCTATCCATGTATGTCTGAGGGAGGGAGGGCTTACCTTGGGTGCTTCTACAGCTGTGTATGTGGATCCGGGGGGCACCTGGTAACCCTCTGTGTACAACTTAAAGTGATGGATCAGAGACTCCATGGACATCTAACATGGGAACATTAACCACCATTACAACTGATGTTTATGCTTATGTAGACTCAATGTGCAACACTCCACCATAACCAGGGCTTGAGTTTAACTATAGGGTAAGGCAGAGGAAGTCGGCAGGGATGATCTAAATGTCCAAAATCAGTGTTTCTTCATCATGGTCCTGAGCACCCAAAAAGGTGCACTCAGACACCTGATTCAACTAATTAACTCATCAAGCCTTTGATTAGTTCAATCTGGTGTGTTAGTGCTAGGGCAAAAACAAAAATGTGCACCCCACTGTCCTAAATGATCTCAAATCAAATTCCATTTAGTCGTTCTCACCTTCATCTCAGATCTCTTGGGCGGGGCCACCTTGGCGTCGTCCACTTTGATCTCTCCTGCTGGCATCTTGTTGAGGGCCTCGATCATGATCCTGAGACTCTGTCTCATCTCCTCCACCCTGCACAGGTACCTGAGCAACACCAAGGACAAAGAGGGAGGGAACAAAACAAGATGTAAATATAAATATTGTTAAGTAGATGGGGAGACAGATGAGGGATCCAGCAGAGAACGTGAGTGGTGGAACGGGGGATTGAACCGCTGCCCTCCAGGGGCATATGTGGACCGGGTGTGGCAGCACTACCACTAAACAAGCCCCCGACAAGGCAAAAAAGAGCAGGACTGCCCAACCCGGTTCCTGGAGAGCTACCGTCCTGTAGGTTTTTGCTCCAACCCTAATCTAGCACACCTGATTCTAATAATTAGCAGGTTGATAAGATGAATCAGGTTAGTAACACCTGGGGTTGGAGCGGAAACCTACAGGAGGGTAGCTCTCCAGGAACAGGGTTGGGCAACCCTGATGTAGAGGATACAATCAAAAACAATCAATGATAAATATGAAGGTAAAACAGTCAAAATCGCTCATCTATACAAAGGCAATACTAAGTAAACGAGCGAGAGAGGCAGACAGAGAGAGAGAGGATAGTAGGCGTTCTTCTCACCTGTCGTAGCAGTCTCCCTTGCTGCCGATGGGGACGTCAAACTCCACCTCGTCATACTTGTCGTAGGGCTGAGACTTCCTCAGGTCCCACTTGATGCCTGAACCCCTCAGCATCACACCACTGACAGACAAGTAGAGGGAGTCTTTTACTTTTAGATTTGTGTGTATTGTTGTGAATTGTTAGATATTACTGCACTGTTGGAGCTAGAAACACAAGCATTTAGCTACACCCGCAATAACTTTGGCTAAACATGTGTACAGTGGCTTGCGAAAGTATTCACCCCCCTTCGCATTTTTCCTATTTAGATTTTTGGGGGGTTTGTATCATTTGATTTACACAACATGCCTACCACTTTGAAAATGCAAAATATTATATATTGTGAAACAAACAAGAAATAAGACCAAAAAAAACTTGAGCGTGCATAACTATTCACCACCCCAAATTCAATACTTTGTAGAGCCACCTTTTGCAGCAATTACAGCTGCAAGTCTCTTGGGGTATGTATCTATAAGCTTGGCACATCTACCCACTGGGATTTTTGCCCATTCTTCAAGGCAAAACTGCTCCATCTCCTTCAAGTTGGATGGGTTCCGCTGGTGCACAGCAATCTTTAAGTCATACCACAGATTCTCAATTGGATTGAGGTCTGGGCTTTGACTACGCCATTCCAAGACTTTTAAATGTTTCCCCTTAACCCACTCAAGTGTTGCTTTAGCAGTATGCTTAGGGTCATTGTCCTGCTGGAAGGTGAACCTCCGTCCCAGTCTCAAATCTCTGGAAGACTGAAACAGGTTTCCCTCAAGAATTTCCCTGTTTTTAGCGCCATCCATTATTCAGTCTCATCTGACCAGAGTACCTGCTTCCATATGTTTGGGGAGTCTCCCACATGCCTTTTGGCGAACACCAAACGTGTTTGCTTATTTTTTTCTTTAAGCAATGGCTTTTTTCTGGCCACTCTTCCGTAAAGCCCAGCTCTGTGGAGTGTACGGCTTAAAGTGGTAAAATGGACAGATACTCCAATCTCCGCTGTGGAGCTTTGCAGCTCCTTCAGGGTTATCTTTGGTCTATTTGTTGCCTCTCTGATTAATGCCCTCCTTGCATGGTCCGTGAGTTTTGGTGGGCGGCCCTCTCTTGGCAGGTTTGTTGTGGTGCCATATTCTTTCAAAAAAAATGTATAATGGATTTAGTGGTGCTCCGTGGGATGTTCAAAGTTTCGGATCTTTTTTTATAAACCAACCCTGATCTGTACTTCTCCACAACTTTGACCCTGACCTGTTTGGAGAGCTCCTTGGTTTTCATGGTGCCGCTTGCTTGGTGGTGCCCCTTGCTTAGTGGTGTTGCAGACTCTGGAGCCTTTCAGAACAGGTGTATATATACTGAGATCATGTGACAGATCATGTGACACTTAGATTGCACACATGTGGACTTTATTTAACTAATTATGTGACTTCTGAAGGTAATTGGTTACACCAGATCTTATTTAGGGGCTTCATAGCAAAGGGGGTGAATACATATGCACACACCACTTTTCCGTAATTTATTTTTTAGAAATTTTTGAAACAAGTTATTTTTTTCAATTCACTTCACCAATTTGGACTATTTTGTGTATGTCCATTACATGAAATCCAAATAAAAATCCATTTAAATTACAGGTTGTAATGCAAAAAAATGGGAAAAACACCAAGGGGGATGAATACTTTTGCAAGGCACTGTATGTGACCAATACAATTTCATTTGAGTTAGTTACATCTTTCATTAGCTTCTCAACAGTTTGAGAGTGTATGTGTGTGTGTGTGTGTGTGTGTGTGAAAGTGCATCTCACCTGAAGCCATAGTTGAGTGCGTCCTCTGCAGACACAACCCCGATGTCCACAGTGCGGTTCTTCCAGATACGGTTGTTGGTCAACATTTCCTCCACCTCGTCTATTCTGATGGAGAAGTTCTTGCACCACTCGTAGATGTCATCCATTAGTCCCAGTGGCATGTCCTGGAACAAACAGATAACACAATCATCTTATCTTTATAGCGACCATTCCATCGCATATATCGAGTCCCATAGCTATATAGTCTATCAATGATGTCGCTCTTGCTGCTGGTGACTCTCAGATCCACCTCTACGCAGACGACACTATTTTGTATACATCTGGCCCTTCATTGGACACTGTGTTAACAAACCTCCAAACGAGCTTCAATGCCATACAACACTCCTTCAGTAGCCTCCAACTGCTCTTAAACACTAGTAAAACTAAATGCATGCTCTTCAATCGAACGCTGCTGGCACCCGCCCACCCCGACTAGAATCACCACTCTCGACGGGTCTGACCTAGAGTATGTGGACAACTACAAATACCTAGGTGTCTGGTTAGACTGTAAACTCTCCTTCCAGACTCACATTAAGAATCTCTAATCCAAAGTTAAATCTAGAATCGGCTTCCTATTTCGCAACAAAGCCTCCTTCACTCATGCTGCCAAACATGCCCTCGTAAAACTGACTATCCTACCGATCCTTGACATCGGCGATGTCATTTACAAAATAGCCTCCAACACTCTACTCAGCAAATTGGATGTAGTCTATCACAGTGCCATCCGTTTTGTCTCCAAAGCCCCATACACTACCCACCACTGTGACTTGTACGCTCTTGTTGGCTGGTCCTCACTACATGTTCGTCACCAAACCCACTGGCTCCAGGCCATCTATAAATCACTACTAGGCAAATCCCCGCCTTATCTTAGCTCATTGGTCACCATAGCAGCACCCACCCGTAGTCTGCGCTCCAGCAGGTATATCTCACTCGTCATTCCCAAAGCCAACACCTCTTTTGGCCGCCATTCCTTCCAGTTCTCTGCTGCCAATGACTGGAACAAATTGCAAAAATCTCTGAAGCTGGAGACTCTTATCTCCTTCACTAACTTTAAGCATCAGTTGTCAGAGCACCTTACCGATTACTGCACCTGTACACAGCCTTTCTGAAATTAGCCCACCCAACTACCTCATCCCTATATTGTTATTTATTTTGCTCTTTTGCACCCCAGTATCTCTATTTGCACATAATCTCTTGCACATCTAGCATTCCAGTGTTAATACTAATTGTAATTATTCTGCACTATAGCCTATATATTGCCTTACCTCCATAACTTGCTACATTTGCACACACTGTATATATATTTTCTGTTGTATCTCTGACTTTATGTTTTTTTACCCCATATGTCACAGTGCGGGGGGGGGGGGGGGGGTTGTTGTTTTTATCGCACTGCTTTGCTTTATCTTGGCCAGGTCGCAGTTGTAAATGAGAACTTGTTCTCAACTGGCTTACCTGGTTAAATAAAGGTGAAATAAAAATTAAAATGAAAAAATAAAATAGCTGTAGGGTGAAGTTGCCCCTAGACGCTGATCTTGGGTCAGTTTTGTGGTCCCCCCCCCCCCCCCGGTGAATGTTAGGATTGGGGGAGAGGATGCTGATCCTAGATCTGGACCTAGGGGAAACTTCACCCAGGAGCAACCCCATAACACTTAGTTCACAGGAAGCCCTCACCTGGTGTACTCCTCCAGGTCTGACGTAGGCTGCATGCATCCTGGCCCCTGAGACACGCTCATAGAACTCAAACATCTAGGAGAAGGATAGAGACAAGACAAAACACCATTAAAGGTCCAGTGCAATCAAAAACATGATTGTGTTTTACATATATTTACACACTGAGGTTGGAATAATACTGGGAAATTGTGAAAATTATGATAATGCACTTTTAGTGTATGAGACGTTTGAAAAGACTGCCTTAAATTTCGGCCTGTTTGGGTGAGATGGAGTTTTGGCCTGTCTGGTGACATTACATTTGTTAATATGCCAATAAGAAAGAGAGTTCCAAACCTCTCTGCCAGCTAGTTTTCCCCATTCCCCACTCAGACCACTCTCAGACAGTCCACGCAAAATTCTTGCTTGAGAAATTGCTCTTTGCTACGAAGCAATTTTTGTTTCTTTTTCACAATTTTAACTGAAAACAATCACAGTAATATACTTAATAGTAACCCAGAAATGACTTGATATTCAGATAAGAACGGCTGCATTGGACTTTAAAAACCCCTCTGTAGCTCAATTGGTAGAGCATGGCGCTTGTAACGCCAGGGTAGTGGGTTTGATCCCCGGGACCACCCATACGTAAAAATGTATGCGCACATCTATAAAAGCGTCTGCTAAATGGCATATTACTATTTAAGGAGTTAAAAATGGCTACTTCAGCAAAAGGAGGGAGGAAGATCAGGACCCGTTCATAAAGCATCTCAGAGTGCTTTAATCTGATTCGTTATGATCGAAAAGGCAAAACTGATTCTACATCATCACTCCTTCTCTGTGATGCTTGATACATACGGCCCCAGATCCTAAATTCTGTTTCTGTTCTCACCTTCTCTCTCTCCTCGAACATCCAGAAGAAGGGGGTCATGGCTCCGATGTCCAGGGCGTGTGTGGTGATGGCCATGATGTGGTTCAGGATGCGAGTCAGCTCGCCGAAAAGAACTACAAGACAAGTTGACACTGAAAAGTCATACTTACTTAATTCACCCACTGTTGCCCATCTTCTGCCTGTGTGGAGATTGTGTTCCATGACAAGCCACAGTCCCACTGTATTCCCATGTTGACTGTTGAACTCCATGTAGCTAACTACTGCCCCCTAGTGACATTTTAGACATTTTAGTCATTTAGCAGACGCTCTTATCCAGAGCGACTTACAGTTAGTGCGTGCTTACATTTTCATACTAGTGACTATAAAAGGGTAAATGGGGCCAGATTACCTAAGGTCGTCATGATTCTCACGCTTGTTATTGTCATGCTGGTAAAGGAGGGAGGCGCAGCACTTTTTTAACCACAAATGCCACTTGTTAACCCAAACTGTACCCTAATCTCTGAACCTACAATTCAGGAAAAAAAAGCTCATTTAAGTTGGTTTGCTCATCAGTTGAAGGTATTGGTTAGTTTGTCCTTTCTGCCATGGTCGTCTAGAAGCACCTGGTCTCACCTCTGATCCACTGTGCGCGGGGAGGGGCCTGGATGTTGAGCAGCTTCTCCACGGCCAGAGAGTAGGCCTGCTCGTTACACATCATGGACACGTAGTCCAGCCTGTCAAAGTAGGGCAGCGCCTATAGTACACACAGGAAGATTGGTCAATACATTTCATCAAACAAAAATAGGCTCGTTATAGAAGAGCCTTAACACGAGATTGTACATTACAAGCATCTTAGCCAGGACACTGACGCTAGTAACTTTCAGCCAATTTGCTATCCTAGCTGCAGGTTTAACTATTCTGCCATGATTCAGCCTTAGTGTTTTTGGATGTTTTTCTTACATACCACTTGGTGCCATACCTTACTGTCTCTAGGTGTGCTACATGGTGTTACGTACCTGCAGGTAGGTCTTGTACTCAATTAGTTTTTCTGTGCCGCGGTGCAGCAGGCCCACGTGGGGATCACACTTCTTCACTGACTCCCCGCTGAGCTCCAGCACCAGACGCAGCACGCCGTGGGCCGCGGGGTGCTGGGGGCCAAAGTTAATGGTCAGGTTAGACACCTCCTTCTCCATAGGAGCATCCTTATCTGTGGAGAGCGAGAGAGAGATTGAGAGGAGATTTGGCAGTTAAAGTTGATAAGAAAGCTACTTTATTGTTAAAAGTAAAACCGGGGGGGGGGGGGGGGGGGGGCTAGAGAGCGTGCTATGGAATAGACGTGTTTTGTTAGAGCTCCGCTCAATTTTGAAACAAATTCATATTTATCTTAATCTCTCACCCCCTATAAATTTAAACATTGTCTGGCAATATGACAAAAGGAAAAGGCACCAAAAAAGGGGGCGCTAAACAAGATCATTTGGATGAGACAGACAACAAACCGATGTCAACAATCGCCAACCCACGAGGAGTTAGCTGAAGATGCTAGCTCCCAAGAGCTCCCCACAGAACCTACTCCAAGTGACCTACTGGCCGCTATAAACTCACTAAGCAAGAAGGTGGACACAAGGTTGGCTGATATCTCAAATAGTATTGGGACTTTGACTGAAACTGTGAAGGCAAACAAGGGTAGGGTGCATGAGGTCGAGCAGACGACAGTTGATCAAAAGACCAGGCTACAGGACATTGAGAAAATGACAACAAAACCCTGAAAGCCCGAATGGAAATGCTCGAGTCGCATTCAAGACGGCCGAACATCCGGATATTTGGGATCCAGCAGGACACTGAGAAAGGGAAACCCACTGAATTTGTTTCGGCGCTGATACCAGTATTGCTGGAGAGTGAACACTTCAAAACGCCCATGCTGATCGACCGCGCACACAGATCACAGGCAACGAAGCCGGCCAAGGGCGCACCACCACGGCTGCACTATCCCCAGACCAGGGATCTCATCCTCAAGCTGGCTAGTCATAAGTTCCCCCTTAACTACAACGGAGCCAGGGTGTCTTTCTACCCAGATCTTACTTTGTGAGGTGAGGAACCAACGGAAAGAGTATGATGAGTTGTGCAAGAAATGCAGGGCGGCCAACATCCGATATTGATTCCTCTTCCCAGCCTGGTTTAAGATGACAGTCGAGGGATCAACACGTACGTTTGACAACCCAAAAGAGGCCGACCTGTTCTTGTCAAGCAAGCTCCCTGGCTGAGGATACAGAACTGCTGTCAGCAGGCCTAAGTGGCAAATATAGGCCAGGAACGTGTTTGAATTTCCTGCCGATGTCTTTTCGATCAGAAGATCAGACATTGGGACTTATAATGATGGGTGAGATGTTCTTGCTTATATAGCATTGTTTAGCCAATCATGTTTTAGTCCCACTCCGCCCCTGACGTGAGAGATAAGTGTTATTTAATATTTGTTTAAATGCGGAGCATCTATAGATGCCGAGTTAGTTCAGGCTTTATGTCTAGGTACCGCAAGGTTTGTGTGTTAGTCAAGGAGTGCTTCGTTTGGGGAAATATCTCAGATACAAGTGTTAT